ACTTCTAAAGCATACTACTCTGATAATTTTAGAGACAACATGCAATCCTATATACATCAAAAAACATGTTCCCTTGAGAACACATTCCTAGACAAGGAAAAAATGCTGCTTCATTTGTGTGAGATGGAAGAGAGTAGAGAGGGGTAGAATAATGGAAATGATGTAGCTTTAGGAATTATATAAAATATCTAATTTAGTTTTATCATAGTTCAATACCTTGGACATTTAGCTCCAAGTGAAAAAAATCAGCAAGATACAACTGTATGGAAACTTTTGTATGACAATAGCCAAGTGTCAAGGTTTTTCACATTAAAATTACTCTTTTATAAAGACATGTAATTCAGTTCTAAACCTTAATTACTTCTGAATGCATTCATAAAGGACTACTCATTACTAGGTCATTATTACAAAATGCTGTTGAACTTGTATTTGTCCCCGTGCTTCCATCTCCCAACATGCCTACATCGCAGTCTTTGTCAGTATACTGAAGCAGAGACAGACTCAAGCTAGCTTTAAGGAAGGTAGTAGTAGCCTTCTACTTGTCATTAGTGCAGTCTGCATAACCAATACAAGAAGCAGGGTAAATAGTGACTAGGCCATGAGGAGCTTTGTGCTGACACAGCAACCACAGCTAGTTGTACCCAACTAGATAACCTGAAGCTCGTCTGAATATATTTATAATACACTGTAGTCACAGAAGGCATAGATCCAGATAAAAAAGTATATAAGCACCCAACTCTCATTTATAAGCATTTACTGACATTAAAATCAATGTGAGCTTAGCCACCTAATACAGAGTTAAGTGCCTAAATACCTTCTGGATTTGGCCACAGTGGAAACACCTTCAGTGTCCTTCTGGTATTTGAACCAAATTCAGCTCTCTGTGGTAAGTAAGACAGACATGGGCAATTTCTCATTGCATTTCCTTCCACTGTTTTTGGTTTTAAATGGTGGTTTTCTCTTCTGTTCATTCTTCCATCATATTTCTAAGAGCATGGAAAGGATACATCCAAAAAGAAACATATCTGGGGTAAAATACGTAAAGTCACTGGCAAATCTATTGAGTTCAATGAGGCAAGCTTTTGTTCTGAGAGTAGTTAATATGTTGTTTTTTGCTAACATTTTGATAGCTGGCATATGACTTAAACCCTGCAGGAGTGGCACAAGGGAGAAGGACATGTAGCAGGAAAAGCAAACAATTTGTGGATGTCAGATAAAGCAGTGGATTAGTTTTCCCGCTGCTTTATTGCCCTCTTGTGCTCCCTCCCTCCACATACCAGGCATGCTCAATTGCATCTGTCAACCTATGGAAATTTAGTGTACATATAACTGTCATCCCTACAGCTCAATATAGGCTGTATATTCTTTGCAGCAGGGACTATGTATTTATGTGTGTTTTTACTGCAGCTACTACAGTGAAGCAGCAATCTTGTCTGGGCCTGTAACACAAAGAACATCTAAGAACAGGATTGAGCAGATTTTCAAATTAAAAGGTGGTACACTAGAATAAAAAGATTATGTAATAAAGAATAAAAAGCCTGGGCATAATTTAATGAAATAAAGAATATGTAATAAAGCATAAAAAGCCAGGTACAAAAATGCAAGTAGCATGTTAGAAATTAAGGGCATTTATTACCAAAAAAAAAATCAAAAACAGATTTTAAAACCTAAGAATATAGGAGCATAAGTGAAAGAAAGAAAATGTGGCTTATTTGTCTGCAGGCTTTGCAATGTAATATAGCTAAGACAGTTGCTACATCATATGCTGGAGAGAGTAAAACAAATCCACACAAATTTACCCATAGTTAGTATAATTCTACTCAAATGCTGTATCAGAAATAATTTTGAGCCTTTGAACAGGCACTAGGATGTTGTTTTGTTACAGGCAGCTCAACAGACAGAACACTGGTAAATGCACAAAAAGAAATAATCCAGCACTGGCAGAGAGATAGACTAGGTGACCTAATAGGTCATTTCCATCTCTAGCTTGTCATATGATTACTGTTGGATTTAGTGCCAGCATGGCAGGATACCAAGGACTATGCTAACTTACTTTTCAGCCATTAAGCACCAAGTATGCATGATTTCATACAGTCCTTTTCAAAAAGCTCCCTCTTTCCCACTGAAACATTATTAGGGATTGTACAGTATTTCTCACACATTCAAATCTCACCTGGTCTTACTGTTCCCTCCCTGTATTTCCTACCTATGTCAGAGATGCTGAGAATCCCTGTCTGTGAAGCACTTTGTGATCCAGTTATGAAAGGCAATATAGTACTAAAAAAGACACCATCAATTTGTTATATATCAGACTGGCTTTTTAGGCTAATATTTTTCCAAGCAAACATGGTATTCTTCAAAACTTAAAATTATTTCAGGCAAGAAGATTCTTCTGCATTTTAACTTATTTGGATCATCTGATAGAACTTTGTGTACAGCCATTTCTATGGTTTTTCTTACATTCCCCTTGTTTGTGTGGGCTTTTCACACAGTAACAGACTAGGAAAACACCAAATCAAAGCATTAGAAAGTGTGATTTGGCCAAGCGACTAAAATGATATTTTACATTCATTTTTAAAGAGAAGTTTCTTTCAGTGTCCATCTGTAGATTTTCTTTTTCACTTGACTGCTCTTTAAATTGGAGTTATAAGGGCTGCCAAAAGACTTGAAATTCCGCCTATCTTCCTTTTCTCCTCACATCTTTTAATCTCTACTCTTCACTATTGAGATTTTATGCTAAGTTTACCTTTGTCTGCTTATCAGATAAAACTCTTCACTAAGGCTAAGAAAATCATGGAAACAGCCCGCGGCAAATGAGGCTTTTTGTCTGCTTATCATCTCTCTACTAGACTAAATATTGCTCCGTACATTTCGGTGACACCTGTAGGCTACAGGCTTGAGATCCTGCAATCAGGGTTCATAATAAAAGAACTAGGGTCATAAAATGAAACTAGTAGGTAGCAAGTTTAAAACTAGAAGAAGGAAGTTCTTTTTCGCCCAGCGGCTATATCCCCACGAGTGGGAACGTGCACTTTGAAGTACCTCAAAAGCTTTTGAGGTGCTGCAAAATGGACACAGTGCACATGAAAAGGTTTGCTGCGCTGCAAATTTGCAGCACAGAGCCAAAATTTGATACTGGCAAATCCTGGTATCTAAAAAAAATGTAACAAAAAAAGCGGGGCAGCACACATGGCTACAGCATACACTGACGAAAACTGGAACCTGGCCAGCTCTAGTTGCTGGCCAGGCTCCGTGTGCCGGGATTGCCACCACTGCAGACCCAGGAAGCCCCCAGGACTCTAGGTGAAGTTGCTGGAACCAGTCCAGGTACTGGCCCCAGCCTCCTCTACCCCACCTGGGGCAATTTGCCATGGGCCACAGCGTGCATGTAGGGACAAGTAGCAGTGGCACAACTGTCCCAGGGAAAAGCACTTGTGCGCTCATGGAGATGCACTCAGTGTGTCATTCAAGTGTGGAACTCACTGCCACCAGGTTTTGTGGAAGCTGACAATTTGGGCAGATTTGCAAATTCTTGGAGGAAAGTGCATCAGTAGTTATTTAGCATGGGGGTTAGGGGCAAAGCCTCTGAATCAGAGTTTCCTTAAATGCTGGAGGCTGCAAAACAGAGAGAAACAGTGGGGAAAAAAACCCTGGTCATATCTGGTTCACTCTCCCTTTCCACACCCACTCTCTGCCACTGTGGGACACAGGACACTGGGCAAGATGGACCAACAGGCTAACCCAGTAAATGGTAGGATACAAAGAAATATGTTAACTTTTCAACCACTAAGCACCAAGTATGCATAATTTCATACAGTCCTTTTCAAAAAGCTCCCTCTTTCCCACTGAAGCATTAATAGGGATTACACCATATTTCTCACACATGTTCAAATCTCAGCTGGTTCTACTATTCCCCCTGCATTTCTTACCTACCTCAGAGATGCCAGGAATCACTGTCTGTGAAGCACTTTGTTATCCAGCTATGAAAGGCGATATAAGTACTAAAAAAAAGACACCATCCATTTGCTATATATCAGAATGGCTTTTTAAGCTAATCTTTTTCCAGGCAAACGTTGCATTCTTTAAAACTCAAAATTATCTCAGGCAAAAAAGATTCTTCTGCATCTTAACATCTAGCTTTCTTAACCAGCCAGGCCTGGGTTACAAGGCGCAGGGACAGCACGGTACCTAGACTCCTGGTGGCCCCAGGCAAACTTTTAGTATCAGCCCCCCCACCCCCTCTTTCGCCAGAGATAATGATAATAATAATCCTTATTTTCACCATTTTCGGGCTGCCTTTCTGCCCATGCCTGTGTCCAGCCCTGCACAGGGGATTGCCTCAGGGATGTGGCTCTGGGTTTGTCCGGGAGCAGCACAACACCACAGCTCGCCCCTGTCTCTGCGGGGACGTGTTCCAGGGGAGATGCTGTGCCAGCTAGGCCAGAATATATATAGATAGATATATAAATTGAACCCCACTCTTGGTGGCTTTCCTTCCCCGTGGCCCTACACAAAGCCCCAGGGCTGAAACGCCACGTCCCTTTGTTCCCCGTGTGTGTGTGTGCGTGTGCGTGCGCGCGCGCGTGTGGAGCCCTCCCGTCCCAGAAACCCTCCGACCCACTGTGGCTGCCCGCTGCCACCCCTAGCGCGGCGCCCCGGGCAGGGCGGGCGTGGGCGGCACGAGCCCTGCCTGCCCCTCCGCCAGTGCCCTGTCACATGCCAGGGGGAGGCGAGGGGGCAGCCGGCAGCGCGGACACTGGATTTGGGGAGCGGGGCTGCACGGGGCCCGGCCAGCCCCCCGGGCTGCTGCCGCGAGGCAACTTCCTACCCCCGATTTTCTTCGGCGACTTGTTTGATGCGGGGCTGAGGCACGGCGCCACCTCCCGCCGCCCCGCTCCTCCCCGCCCCGGCCCGGCGGGGGCCGCTTTGTGTGCGCGGGGAGCTGCCACCTGGAGACGGGGCGGCGGCCGCGGCGGGGCTCGCTCTCCATCCCTCGCCCTTTGCACCATGAAACTCCCGAGGAGTCCCGGTAGCCCGGGAGCAGCTCTGCTGCCTCTTTGTCTGCTCGTCCTGAAGACCTGGGTGCCGGTGCAAGGCTACCTCTACAACAACCGCTACGCCGGGTAAGCTGCGCCAGCTCTCTCCCTGCGCTCACTCCGGGGAGCTTTGGGGATCATTCGCGCCTGGCTTTCCTGACATTGGGGCGAGGGAGGGGACACTGGTTTAAGCACTTTTAGGGACTCATGAAATACTCAGCTCGCCTTCTTAACTCTCCTAAGTTTGTTAGCAGGGGATCTGGGGCTGTGGAGGGTGCTACTCTTCCACTGCGTGAACTTTCTTGTTGGAGGGGAAATATCTGTATGCTCTGGTTCCTTGCTCTGTACTCTAGAGGTGCCTGGTAGGGAGGATGATACCTACAGAGAAGCTGGAGTGAATATGGACAGTGTCCCTTCCACTACCCCCACGCTAATTAACTGATGCTTCAGTTTAGTCTAAAGTGAATGAAAGATTTGCATGTCTCAGTCCAATGGATGTGCATGTTCATCCGATCTGGTTTGAACAGTTTCAGTGCATTTGAGCCATCTTACTGGACACCAAATTTTCCAAGCCCCCAAACATCCAGGGTGTTGCTACAATGAGGGTGATATTTATATTTGAAAATTCTTTTTTCCCCCCTCATTTAAACCTAATGTCTGTTAGGAAGGGAGAGTTTGGCTTTCGTAGCAATTTAGACCAGAGTGCAGCATCACTGAGCAATGGCCATTCTTAATGGGCTAAATTTTATTGGAAGGCTGTATATGTGATTCTTTTAGGGTTTGAAGATTTGTATTAAGTGTTAATCAAAATCATATTAACAATAGGTAGGTGGTAAATGAGCATTTCCCAACCAAAAGTGGGTGGATTGCTGAACAGAGGGAGGGACCACTGCCAACACATGCTCCAATGTAGAATACGATTATGACTCCTTAAAACTGACATGCAGATTCATATGTAACCTGAAAGCAAGAACTGTATTTCCACTGTTATTTTATTATGGCAGTCAGGCTGAGTGTGTCAATTCCACTGCTGAATTGAAGTTTAAAAAACAGTCCATAGGCTTCAGCGAATTGGTAATGTGATATGAAGCTTTTCACCCTAAATTAACTAGTAGTGACAGAAAGTACTTAAATGTGACAGCTGCTTTGCTGTCTCAGTCCAGAGTATAGGTATTTATCTCTCTCTCTCTCACACACACACACATACACTCACACACACATACGCCCCTTTAGTTGGCAGTATCAGAAAACCATGGACAGGGAGGCTAAATTCTTCTAGAAAGTAAGGATGATTCAATAAACTCTCTGTGGGGGCAGGGTTCTGTCCACATGAAACACGTTGCAGGATGAGAGAAATTGTTGGCTCTAAGTTAAGGCTGTCCTGCATTTATTTGCAGATGAATATGGAAGGCTTCAGTTTTCCAGTACTGGGAGTCTGCCACCTTTCATAAGTACTAATTGTATATATTATAGTATATACAAGATGTCCACATATCATTTTAAGCCTAGAAGATATTAATGATCCATTCCAGTTGGAAGTTAGTCAACTCAAAGAGAAAAGGTAAAAGTACCTTCGGGTACTGTATCTGCCCCTAAGTACCCCCGATAGTTTTTGTGGGTTTATAATTATATTTTCTTGCTCAAGCATTGGCTTGCTGTGTAAAAAGCCCAAGCAAACAATGTATACTGTCATCGTCTGGCTATTATTCTACAAACTACTCTGAATAACCAAATCCAGAAAGATAAGACTTCATGGAGTAGCTCCATCCACCTGGAAAAGCTTACAGAATTGGGCTGATCCTGCAGTTACCCAGTAAAATTCCACAGTCATGAAGGGCAAGAATATTGATGGTAGTCAGGCTATTGATTTCAGTAAGAGGTCAAAGGTCCACCTAAGCCTAGCAGTCCATTACGTTAACATGGTTAAGGCACACTAATTTCTGTAGCAACAGCACACTGGGGAGTGATGGAGCTAGCATCACATCTGGCCACCTTTGACCCAAATGACCAAATACCCATTTACAGCTGGGTCAACTGAGGGTGACCTTTGGCAAAAGTCCAGAGTGGGGGTCAAACTCATACTTCAAGGATAACAGGAAGATGCTTTAACCACTCTGCCACCACACCTTGGCTTTGCTGGGTACCTGGTGGTGCCTCGGTATCTGTAAAAAATGTTCCCAAAGTTCCACCAAATGCAAAAGAGAAAACTAGGAAACATGGAGATTTTCCCTCTGCCTAACTTCTTTCATTTGTATTAGCCCTAGGAGTTACTTAAGAAAACAGTAGGTTAAAAATTCAGCCTCAAGTAGAATTTTTAAATTGCATTGGTTACTCTCTGATGACAAGTCTCTTTTGCCCTCATGAAACTTCTGTCATCAAGTCAGAGCCCTGGGCCGAATCATTTTATTTCCTGTGTGTACTCCTGATTACACAGTTGAGCAGGTGTGACTCTTGTGCCTGTGCTACTGCCTGGGGGGTGGGGAGGGAGGGTCAGAATTTAATGTAGTGCTTTCAAGAGCAGCAGTCAAGAGATGGACAGTTTTACTCAGATCAGTTTTTAAAAGTGTTACAATCCCCTCACTTTCTTAGAAACTTATCAGTTCTGATTGTGTGCCGTCAGTCACTGAAATACCCAGGTGATGGTGGGGGTGCTGTTTTTGGTTTTTGTTTTAAAAAAGGCTCAGTGGGACTCAGTCTTGGTGATGACTGTAGCACACCACAGAGTAGCATTAGGATGCAAGAAGGCAATTACTTGTAGCATTGGATATCTCCCATGCTCCCTTTCCTAACTCCTCCAAAGATGTCAAGGGAGACCAACAAGAAGGGAGCAGAGCAAAGTTGCAGACAAAGCGTAGGAAGGGAGCTGCTGATGCTGTCAATGAACAGAAGGACCTTGGAGTAGTCACTGCCACCTGGGAAAGGAGGCAGCTTCCATCAGTGGGCTAAGACATGTTAAGGGAACAGGTCCTCCCACGCTTGCCATTGCAAAGTCAGTTCACTCTATTTTCTTAGTTTAGCTCTTCTCCCACTACATGGTACATGTGGTTTGTGTAAGCCTTCCACCTGCTTCTTTCCCAGGCTCTGACTGACTTTCTGAACAGTTATTCTGCTGAGTTCTACTACAGGTATTTTCAGAAAAGTGCCAGCAGCCCTTGTCTCAAGCTACCAAATAGAGGCAGGGGCCAAAAAAACTGAGGAAATTAATCTGCCAGATACAGAGCTTTTGGGGCAAGTGAGGATTAAAATAAAAAATTGGAAGTGGGCATTTTACATGCTGTAACTAGAATTCATTAATTTAAGAAATAATGGATGTGTCTATACATGCATTAGATCTGGGAGCACTTTACTCACAAGTAAACTACTCATGAGTAAATGCTCCTAGACAAGCATCCACACGTGCAGGAAACCAGAAGCAAATTTGCTGCTAATGGCAGCAGACTGTTCCTGCTTCCTGGAGCCCTGCAGTGGGTCCCTGCTGCCACCAGGGGGAGCTCTAGGCTCCGCCTGGGTGCTAGCCTAGGGGCTGCCAGGGAGCACTGTGCCAGGAGACAGCTGCCTCCTGGCCAGGGCTGGGACATTGCTCCCTGCCCCTGGGGGGACTGCCTGCTGCCAGGGCAGGGACAAATGTCCCCCTGCCCCAGTAGCAGGGAGCTCCTGGCCTTGGCTACACCAGTAGGCAGGGACCACATCCAGGCAGACCTGGATAGGTTGGAGAAGTGGGCGGATCTGAACAGGATGTGGTTCAACAAGGACAAGTGCAGGGTGCTGCACCTGGGGAGAGGGAACCAGCATTATGGTTATAGGTTATGGGCTGACCCTCTCAGCAACACAGAGGCAGAGAGGGATCTTGGAGTCAGGATTGACTCCAGGATGCATATGAGTCGCCAATGCGACAAAGCAATAGGCAGAGCCAACCGCACCCTGTCATGCATC